CTAGGTAAGCGCTCTACACTGAGCCCCAGTCCCAGTCCCAGTCCCAGCCCCAGCCCCAGCTCCAGCCCCAGCCCCAGCCCAGAAGTATATGTTTTTGACCACCATGTTTCCCTGTAAAGAATGACCACGGCTTGTTAAAACAATCCCTTGCTGCCAGGCAATCTGATGGTTTCTAATTTTGCTCCACCATAAACAGTACTACAATGAACATCCCTACAGCTGAACATTCCTGTTCCTGACCTCCTCCCTTCCACTGGGAAGGTTTCCTGATTGTTCTAGGCAAACTCTCTTCCTCAAAACATCTGTAGTATACTTGAGCAAGTTGGCCCAAGCCTATAATCCCAGTAATCTGGAAGGCTGAGGCAGGACAATCACAAGTTCAAGACCAGCCTGGGTAATTTAGAGAAACCCACCCCAAAATTTAAAAAAGGGCTGGGGATATAGCTCAGTCGGTAGAGTGCTTACCTTGTATGCATAAGACCTTGGGTTTGATCCTCAGCACCACACACACACACAAAAAATTATTAAAAATTTAAAAATAAAAAGGTCCAGGTGTGGTGGTGTAGACCTCTAATCCCAGCAGCTGAGAGGCTGAGACAGGAGGATCGTGAGTATACTTGGATGACTCTCTGGACTCAAGAATGCTCAGGTGCTGGGCGCGGTGGTGACACACGTCTATAATCACAGGGCTAGGGAGACTGAGATAGGAGGATCATGAGTTCTAAACCAGCCTCAGCAAAGGTGAGGTTCCAAGCAACTCAGTGAGACCCTCTCTCTACATAAAATACAAAATAGGACTGAGGATGTGGCTCAGTGGTCAAGTGCCCCCGAGTTCAATCCCTGGTACCCCCACCCCTCAAAAAAGCATGTTGGGTAACATCTCCAGCCACAAGTGCTGATGGAGCTACTCACCATTGGGAACCAGGAGGAGGCTTTTCACGATGCTTCTGAGAGGGCCCAGACTGATCTGATTGGTGGTGGCGAATTCAGACAGTTGAGCCAGAAACCTCTCCACCTGAAAAGAGGGACCAGGAGTTCACTTTCGAAGTTCCTCAGACTCACTGACCTGTGCTTCGCAACTGTCCTTATCACAAAATACTTACCTCTTTGGGCTCGATTAGGAAGTGGAAAATTACTTCTGTCAGGGCTGAGAACTGCTGTAAAGAGAACAACACAGAACATCAGTGCCATCTTTACTATGGGTCAGTGTGCCACATCCCATCCAACCCCTTCAGGTAAAGGACCAGGAGCAGGAAAGCCGCTGGGATTACAGGTGTGCACTACCGCACCTGGCCAAAGACCTGATTTGATGATTTTTTTTTTTTTTTTTTGTGGTGCTGGAGATTGAACCCAGGGCCTTGTACATTTGAGGCAAGCACTCTACCAACTGAGCTATATCCCCAGTCCTGCTTTGATCATCTTAAAGTTACAATCAAAATACTCACCAATAGCATCCATGTATCTGCACCACTATATATATATATATATATATATATTTGAAATACTTTTTAGTTGTTAATGGACCTTTATTTATATGTGGTGCTGAGACTTGAACCCAGTGCAGCACCATATTGTTGGTAAGGCACAGATGTTTTATTGAGATAGGAGACATAGAGAGCTAAACTGTGTGTGTGCACCCATGCAGGGACACACACAGATCTCTGGGGTTCAAAGACACAAACACACAGTGAGAAAAGATCTGAAAGGGGAAATCACCAGAATAGTAAGAGCAGTTATTTAGGGCTGGGAACATAGTTCAGGGTGACTTGCCTAACATGTGGAGGCCTGGGTTCAATTTTCAGCATGGCCAGGGCCATGGGGAGAATGCATTTATGTGTGGTAAGATACTTTAAAGATATTTCTTTTAATTTTTTGCAATGCTGAGAATTGAATGATCCCAGAGCTGGTATCCACTACTGCACACCTGTAAACCCAGCTCTAGATATTCTATTTTTTTTTTTTTGTACTGGGGCACTTTACCGCTGAACTGTATCTCAGGCCATTTATATTTTTTTTATTTTGAGACAGGGTCTGGCTAGTTGCTGAGGTTGGCCTTGAACTTGCCATCCTCTTGCCTCAGCCTTCTCTGTAGCTGGGGCTATGGGACTCCACGTGCCCAGCCCTGCTTTGCTTCCCTCTCTTCCGTTCTATTCCACACTATATCTTTGCTGATTTGGGGGTTGATCCCAGGAGTGTTTTAGTTCTGAGACACTTTGCAACCAGGCATGGTTTGGGGCACTTTGACCAAGGCATCTCTCCAAGTTGCTGTTGCCTTTGAAAAATTTTTACTTGGGGTCAGGCTTGCCAAGGTTGGCCTCAAACTTGTCATCCTCCTGCCTCCTGAGCAACTGGAATTACAGATATGCGCCACTGTACCCAACAGGATGATTTGATTTTTACTTTCTGTTTGCCTATCCATATTTTCTGGGTACCCCTAGCACTACTGCTCACAATAAACACCTTCTTATTTATATAACAAAATAGTAAATTTTCCCAGGTACGGTGTCACGTACCAGTAATCCCAGCAACTTGGGACGCTGAGGCAGGAGGGTCACAAGTTTGGGACCGGCCTCAGCAACTTGATGAGGCCTTAAGCAACTTAGCAAGACCCTGTCTCAAAATAAAAAATAAAAAGGAGTGAGGATGTGGCTCAGTGGTAGAGCACCCCTGGGTTCAACTCCCAATACAGAAATGAACAACAGTGAATTCTAAATCTTTATTATAACGCTGTTTTGGAATAGTCTCTTGTTGTTTTGTGCTTAGAAATCTTTTTTCTAGTGCTATTTGGTTAAGGTAAACACTTGTGTTTCCCACAAATTCCTATGTTGAAGCCCTAATGCCCAGTGAGATTTTTTTTTTTTTTTTTTGAGTTGGGGACTATGAGGTGATGGAGGTTAAATGAGGTCACAAGAGCAGGACTCCAGCCCTGGGAAGCTTTATGCATACAAGGCAAGCACTCTACCAACTGAGCCATATCCCCAACCCTATACCTGAGCTTTTACTATTTTATTTTTTAAAATTTTTTGGGATACCAGGGATTGAACTCAGGGGCACTCATCCACTGACCCACACCCTCAGCCTAATTTTGTATTTTATTTAGAGACAGGGTCTCATTGAGTTGCTTAGCACTTTGCCGAGGCTGGCTTTGAACTCGCAATCTTCCCATCTAGCTTTGAGAGTGCTGGGATTACAGGCGTGCACCACCATGCCCAGCAAACATTTTATTTTTTTATTTTTTAAATTTTTTTTTAAAGAGAGAGAATTTTTTAATATTTATTTTTTAGTTCTTGGCGGACACAACATCTTTGTTGGTATGTGGTGCTGAGGATCGAACCTGGGCCGCACACATGCCAGGCGAGCGCGCTACCGCTTGAGCCACATCCCCAGCCCCCTTCCTTTATTTCTTTAATATTTTTTTCCTGCAAATATGTAAAACTGGCAGGACATGGTGGCGTATGAATCCCAGCAGCTCCAGAGTCAGGAGGATTGCAAATTCAAGGCCAGTCTTAGCAATTTAGCAAGGCCCTAAACAAAAAGTGAAACCCTGTCTCAAAATAAAAAACAAAGGGGCTGGGGTTGTGGCTCAGTGGTAGAGCGCTTGACTAGCATGTGTGAGGCACTGGGTTTAATTCTCAGCACCACATATAAATAAATGAATAAAATAAAGATCCATCAACATCTTAAAAATAATAATAGTACTAAAAAATAAAAACTAAAAAGGGCTGGGGATGTAGTTACCAAAAAAAAAAAATTCTTTTTAATTAAAAAAAAAAAAAAAAGCGGAACTGCCAGCTCTTTTCCTATGTCACTCGGAGCTTTCTGAAAATTGAGTCAGCTAATTAGAACGCCAAGCACTCTTCCACTTCTAGACCCAGCCCGATACTGAGGCTAAATCCTACTTTCCTCATTGGGTCTCATCCTCCAGTGTGGTCCCAAGAGGAGCTTCCTGCTAATCTGCTGTGTTGCCTGCTCAGACTTCCATCCCTAGTTCTACTTTCCCAAACCTTCCTTATCTTTCAAAACCCTACCAAGATATCATGATCCCCCAGAAAGAAAGGGATCTATAAGAGGAAACCACAGGATGAAGCAAGACAACCTAGAGAATAGGAGAAAAAACCTGCAAACAAATCATCTGATAAGGGGTTAATAATCAGAATCCAGCCAGGCACAGAGGTGCTCACAGCAATCCCTGTGCTCTAGAAGCTGAGGCAGGAGGACCACAGTTCCAAGACAGTCTCGGCAACTTAGTAAGGCCTCAGAAACTTAATGAAATCCTGTTTCAAAACATAAAAGGGCTGGAGACGTGGCTCACTGGTTAAACACCCCTGGGTTCAATCCCTGGCACCAAACAACAACAACAAAACCCCAAACCAGAAATCATAAGGCACTCCAACAACTCCATAGCAAGAAAACAAATAACCTAAATTAAAAATGGGCAAAACAGCTGGGCACATATTTGTAATCCCAGTGATGTGGAAGAGAATTGAGAATTGTCAGTTTGAGGCCAAGCTCAGCAGTTTAGCAAGACCCTGTCTCAAAATAAAAAACAGAAAGTTCTGTGGATGTGGCTCAGTGGTTAATCACCCCTGGTTTCAATCAGGCTGAGTGGGGTGGCACATGCCTATAATCCCAGATACTAGGGAAGCTAAAGCTGGAGGATTCCAAGTTTGAGGCCAGCCTCAGCAACTCAGCCCCTGTCTGAAAGTGAAATTGTAAAAAAGGCTCAGGATGGAGCTGAATGGCGGAGAGCTTGCCTAGCAAGCTGAAGGTAGCAGGTGGAATCCCCAGTACTCCCAGGGAGGGGGGGGGGTGGACAAAAGAAAAAGGGACCTTCTCTGATTCTCAACTTCTCAGGCTCCCTCTTAGAAGCTGGCCTGGGGCACCTAGAATTTGCAACCTCAATGAGGAACAGAAACTTAGCAGCAAGAAAGTTCCTTGTATAGTTTTGCCTAGTCACAACACTGTAAATATTGCAAAGTGCACAGTAAGGATTTCTTGCATAGTTGCCTCTCCCTGGAATGTTCCACCTGGGACTATCCATGCATATCAAAATCTTAACTAGTATCCAGGGACAGTAAACAGGGAAAAGAGAAAGTTCATTCTAGAGAAATGCAAAACAAGGAGATAACCATTTCTCATTTATCAGATATGCAAACACAAAAGTTTGAGGAGGATACAAGTGTGGGCAAAAGGACATGGAAGGAGACAGGTCCCCACACTGTTGAGAAGACACACTGGGGTGAATTTTCTAGAGAGCCATTTTACAATATGTATCTTTTTCTTTTTCCTTTTTTTTTTTTTTTCTTTTGATACTGGTGACTGAATGGGGGAGCACTTAACTACAGAGCCACATCCCCAGCCATTTTTTTTTTTATTTTAAGTCAGGGTCTTACTGTTCT